ACACCCAGTGTCTTCTGTATGTTATGAGCACCTCTCTCTAAAAGAGAAAGCTCCACAACTCTGATGATGTAGCTACACCTCGATTCTTGGGAAAAGACTACCTCTTACAATCCAGCATAAGAGGTAGGGAAGAAAATTCCTCTCCCATTTAGGACATAGTTATTGCAAGACAGAATATTCCCTCTAATTATTTAAGGTGATTCTCTCCCTAGGTAGGTGAGTGCTGCCTGACCAAGACAACAGGGAAGGAATAAGTACTTAGTCTTTTTTGGCAGTGGGTCCTCTGATGACAAAGGCACTTGCTGGGTGTGTGTCTCTCTGGCTGGGATCCTCTCTTTAGAACAAAAAATATCCTGTCTCCAAAGACATGGTGGCAATATGTTCTCTTTCCCGCCGTTGTCATTGATTCATTTCTTAAAGTCTCTTCTAAGTTTGACATTTCAGATTCATAATTAAAGTCTGAGATAGGGTGGGAGGAATCAGCTCCCAGTCAGCATCAGAGAAATAAGCAAAAATTCCTGTGCAGGAATCTTTCTAACATGGCCACCATGTGGAATGTATGAAAGATTTGGGGTAGGAGAGCACCTTCTAGGGATGACTATTAAGAAACAAAGGAGATATCTGGAGTTCTTTCTTTAACTCACCAAAGAAATCTAAGTCCCTGTACTTGGCATATTCTGACACTCAAAACAAACCTGCAGAGTGAATGTATACTTCCTTAGAAATTCTAAGTGCTATTTTCCTGGTACTTAGAATGCATAAATGATGGATATTAAAAATATTAATTGAACAACTACTGAGTACATGTACTGAAGAATGAATAAAAAGCAATTTCCTGTAATGTCTACATATGACATTTCTCTCAGGATACATTTCTCTCAGGATGAGAGAGACGTTTGAAGAACTAGTATTGCCGAAGGGTTAGGTTCTTGGGTTCTCAAGTTAAACACACTGATGTGGAATCCATTCCTAAGGTTCTTGGGGGAATGACCTTAGAGTGATTGGCCCCATCCAGACTTTGGTTCTTGCATGTGTAGGATGAGATGCAATGAGTCTACCACTAACACTGCATGGAGAGATGGATGTGCGCTTGCTTGCAAAAAGCCTTTCATGTCATGTCTGACATTTCTCAAGTATTTAATCAATTTGGGGCACTATGAATTTGTTCTCTCTTCTAATACAGAATTCTTACTACCTATTTCACTGAAAGCAAAAGTAGCACTTCTTGTATAAAGTGACTTTCAATTATTAATTTCAATGAGAGAATATGGTGTATTGAATGCTAATCCAGAAGTTATACCCGAGTGAAACATGATGATGTGAGAGATGACAGGAGAAGCTAGGAAGAATTCACATGTGGTAAGAAGTTTGAGTACCAGACACATTTCAGAGGAGAAGAGTTGGGGACAGTCAGTATTAAAAGAGAGGTTCTGGTTTCTGGTAAAGACTTCCTGAGCTGGGTCTTGAAGGATGGGTAGGGAGAGATCAGCATTGGGATGCTGTCCCGGGGAATGGGGGAGCCTTCATGATGAAAGAAAGGAAGAGAAGAGAAGTAAGGGTGGCTTTGAGGCTGTCTTCCTGAGGTCAGTGCTTTGTGTTGTCTTGAGGTTTGAACTCTGACACTTCATGTTGAAAAATCTCATCAACGTGGTATTTTTGGCTTGTGGGATGTAAAGAGAATAAGAAATAATTACTAGCCAACTTTGAAACCTTTGGTATCATTTCCCGCATATGACAAAGACATAAAAGTGGCTTCTCAATATACTTGACATCTTTGTGCAGAACTGAGACAGGCAGAAGAAGTAATAGCAGCTCTTCTCTGAAGGGAGACAGACTGCCAACACTGGGATGTGCCATCTCCATAGGCGTATCTTCCTGACCTCTGTGTCTATGTGAAGGCATGCTTCCAGTGGGAATACTAGTCCACCCTCCACCCCACAACCTGCCCTGTCATCCCACCACAGCCCACCCCAGTGCACAAATGGGTTCATGATGTGGATGCAGAGGAAGTTGTCTAGAAATGTGTCCCCTCATCCTCAGCAGAAACCTAGACCTTAAACATAAACACACACACATTAATACATACATGCATACATGTACACACGTATGCACACACATACACACATGTACACACATATTCCACATTTTGGGTACTAATACTGCTTCCTTGGTATCCAGAGTCCACAGTAAGAGGGTAGAAGTTCTAGAAACATAATGAGACCTCATAACAGGCATGCACTGAGACAGGCAGATGGGCTTCTCAGGCTCAGGGAAAGGAACCATGAGTGGCACAAAAACCTAAGAGCAGGCAAGGGTGACCATCTTTGCAGACCAAGCCAAAGAGGCCTAAGTAAACAGATAAATAAATAAAATAAAAATACCCTCCAAATGGGATTTTCCCAGATTAAGTGCCTTGGCCACAAGAGGAAAATAAGCAGACCTTCTTCAGCTCTATCTTATTGTGATACATCCCCTTGGCTTGGCTAAATTTTACTCCTCAAGATAAACCTGATGGCCAGGTTGCCAGAGATGAATTTCAAAGCTCTAGGGGCATTTGATAAAGCCAGACAAGCAGGGGCCAGTAAAGTCACCCGCTTCTGCAAATCAAACGCACCAGCTTCTAAACATGCGTAGCCCTGCTCTGACACCTGGGCCAAAAGAGGAACGGGGCAGGTGGGGGTGGAAACTGGAATAGGTGATGTTTTTTTTTTCCTTCTCTATGTCCTATAAACTTCTAGAGTGTTGCATTGTCCTTGTTTGGTACTGCTGTGGAGGGAAGACAGGTACCACTGTGGGAAAATTGTGATTTATGAAATCAGAGCTTTAAAGAATTGTCAGTATAGTGTCATTTAAATGTGTAACAGCCTCTCAAACATATGCAAGGCCAACATGGGTACCCCTGGCGTGTAATCCTTATGGAGCCGGTGTAGTGAATAAATAAACGTTGTTTGCAATTAACATACCATTGTTAAGAGGTAGAGTATTCCTGGAAATTTACATCTTCCACATTTGTGGAGGATCCACAGTATGTAAAAAAAGTATTCTGGCTACTGTTACAGGCCCCAAATGAAGCTTGTTTTCCTAAGTAGTCCAAAGTATTCCCACCAGCAACTCATTTATACCATTTATTTGCTTAACAAACTTGTTGTTGCAGAAGAGTACAAAGTTGGCTCAACTCTAAATTATCCCAGATGACAAAACAGCAGGTACGAACTAATGAGGTTTGACTGTGTCAAAAGCAAAGGCAAAATGTGCGTGTTCTATTGATTGAAGCCCAACCTCTTTGAATTGACAAAGTCAGAGCCGTATTTGCTGAAAGAATGTCAGAAGTCTAACAGATTTGGATGTGAACCCCAAGTGTTTGTTATCCTAAGCAATTAGATTTTATTTATGCCTCAGTTTCCTCATCTGTAGAATCAGGATGATAGGTGCCGTGCAGGTTTATAGCAAATATTGGAGGTTTTACCTAAAAAGGACTGGGTTTAGTGTTTTGTACATAGCAAGGACTGATAACCATGGTTTCATCCTTCTGCTTAAATTTTTTCATATTATAATATAAAGGACCTGAGTTAAGTTAAATGGGTTCAGGTATGCTTTCTGGCTTATTCACTTACCCTCTGTCTGTGCTCCAGAAAGCCACTTAATCTAAGTTTCTATTCCCTCATCCTCAGATGAGGCCATATCTCCTTGGCTTTTGTGAGGATTAAATGAGATGACCTTTGCAGACTGTTAGAATGCACCTGTCAACACTTTTCAGACTCTTCTCACTACCAAGTTTTCTTGGAATGTTATAATTTAAAGTAGAGTCATTTATGCTTAAATATGTTTAATTCTAAAACACACAAAAAATATGACAGACAATTAATGATTTGTTCCTGCACCGTTTTGGCAGCTTCTTTATCATTGCCTCTTTCCTAAGATATAAAAGAGGAAAAGTACTCATGTTTGCAGAGTAAAATAAACAATAAGGGCTGTTTGTGGTAGGATTAATAGTATTATAGAAATTGAGGAGGAATTGTTTGACCATTTAGGAAAACCGCTACTTCTTTATGTTTAAAAGCTGTTCTCTTTTGCTTAATGTATTTTGGTAGTTTAATGGGTCTTTTACAGAAAAAAAAAAAAGTGATAGTCATTGGATCCAGAGTTTGCACTGACCTCTTTTAATTGCCCAAGGCTGTAAATAGTGCAGTGATTTCATCATTAACAGCAGGGGCTGTGAAACCACAGCGCTCTGAGTTAAAATCCTCGGTCTACCACTTACCATCTATATGACATTAGGTGTTGTGATCCTGGGCAGCTCACTTTACCTGAATAAGCCTCAGTTTTCTCATTTGTGAAATAGAGTGAGTGATATTTACCCAAAAGGACTATTGCAATAATTAAATGAGATAAAGTATTTAAGACTATGAGCGCTTGCCTAAAATAAAATAAAAGTTGTCATTGTTAAGTCGCTAAGTCTTGTCTGACTCTTGGCGACCCCATGGACTATAGCACGCCAGGCTTCTCTGTCCTCCACTATCTCCTGGAGTTTGCTCAAATTCAGGTCCATTGAGTTGGTGATGCTTTCTAACCATCTCATCCTTTGCCACCCTCTTCTCCTTTTACCTTCAATCTTTCCAAGCATCAGGGTCTTTTCCAGTGAGCCAGTGCTTCTTTATCAGTTGGCCAAAGTATTGTACTCCCTATTTGTTTATCATTTGCCAAGCAAGGAACCAACAGCACCAGAGTTTATCTCTAGGCAACTGTAAGCTACTGTCAACCTACCTTAGAGGAGATAAGAAGACTGTCAAACTTGCATTGGGCCCCCCCACCATAGGGGACATGGGGCTAATGCATTGTCTCTCACAGCCCAGGGAGTCGTACGTAAGCACAACCCTCACTCTCTTTCCTCCAAGACAAGTGCTCACAGTTGAATTTGATGGTCTGCTGTCTTTTTTAAGTAAAATAATTATATTTCTTCTCAAATTGATGTATTTTTCAGCCATGTCAATTTTTCCCAGGTAGCAGGGATAAAGGGAATGTTCTTGGCTAACAAGAAGACTGACAACCAGGTCAAGACTTTCATCACATACAACAAAGGCAGAGACTGGCGTTTGCTGCAGGCTCCGGACACAGACCTACGGGGGGACCCTGTGCACTGCTTGCTGGTGAGTCTTCACATGGGGCTGAAATGCCCCACGTAGTGAGGCCTGGAGACGGAGGTCATTAACCAGATGCGTATGGTCCCAGGGCTTCTTGCTCAACTGATGAACAGGAGCGGATGGGGAAGGGTGTGAAGGTGGTTGTAGGAAAGAGTCACAGCTTTGCCGCTTGTGATGGACCAAAGCTATAAGAGAACATAAGTAATTTTCTTGCTTATTTCCAAGGATGTTCAGTTGCTGTCCAATTTCTGATGAGGACCACATATTGTAGTTTAAGGGAGAGTATGATAGTTTCCATCTGTAGTGGGAAAAGATACCCTTACTTTCTCATGAAAAACCTGTTAAGGAGCTAATGACACATAAATTCAGCTGTAAAGCTGATGGACTGAATATAGAATTGTGTAAGTGTGTTTCCCAGTGGACATGCTTATTCATATTTTCAGAGAAATTTATGCCTCAAACAGAGGTAAGGACCACTGATTTAAATCCTTAATCAGTACTCTTTATAATATATTCCATTCATTTATGCCATTATATAAAGCTGGTATGGATAAACTATGGTCTGTGGGGCCAATCTAGCCCACTGCTTGTTTTCTAAATAAAATTTTATTGGAACGTAGTAATGCGTATCCGCCTATATGTTGTCTATGGATGCTTTTGCCCTACAGTGGCTTAATTGAGTAAGACATAAACTGTGTGGTCCATCAATGAGGTATTTATTATCTGATCCTTAAAAACACATTTTTTGACCCCTACTTTGAAATATGGCTTTTAAAAGCTTGTCTAACATTGGGGCAGCAAGTAGGTCAGATCAAATTCTTTTTGTATTTGATTATGGTGTCCAAGAGAGGAATCACAAATGTGTCTTGCTTTCAAGGATTTTTGTGTCTACTTGAGAGATAATAGATTAGTGAGTGAATGATTATAAGGTCACATCCTAGTTTTCTTAGTATTTATGATACCTTCCCTGTACTTGACACATGAATTTGATACTGAGTGAATGAAGGAGGGGAGGCAGGGGTTAATTGTAAAATAATATATCATTAAATGCTAATTTCTAGAAAACAAATCCAAAGTTTCATTTGAATTCATAAAAGGGAGAGAGCAGTCTGTAAAGCTAGAGGAGAGACCTCCTAGTTTTAGTAAGCAGGGCTTGATATATACCAATTATGCACACTCACCAGACAATCCCAGGTTTGTTTAATGTCATGCACACAGAGCATGCTTCCTTCTGCCCCGTGAAGTCTGAGCAGTCACTTTGCAGGTTCATCTTCTACAGCTGTAGGCAGGTCACCCTCCCAATGGAGAAGATGCCACAGCCACAGCTTGACCTTATTAGCTGCAGAGGATATCACAGTTGTCATCATGTATCAGGGGAAGCAGTCTGAAATTCCACCTCCCACTCAGCTTATATTCTTATTAGTGGCAACTTACAGGGGGGAGAAAGCCAGCTGTTATTCAGTACACAAATCCAGTTACAGAGTAAGTGAATGTAGCAGTTATGTATTGAATGCCTATTCTATGCAAGGCATATAGCATTTTAAGAAAATATTTATTTTTAATTGATTGATGATTTGTTTGCAACGTTGGTTTGATTCCTGTCATACATCCACATGAATTAACCATAGGTGTACATGATGTCCTCTCTCTTGAATTTTCCTCACACCTCCCGCCCATTCCCACCCCTCTAGATTATTACAGAGCACCAGTTTGAGTTCTCTGAGTCATATAGCAAATTCCCACTGGCTATTTATAAGGCAAATAGCATTTTAAAAACATGCCCACCTCCCTCATTCTGCTGTTCCAAGTTGAAGCCAAACATGCAGATGTCCCAGTGCCTTAATGCTGTCTTCCATCCCATCATGCATGTTGATGACTGAATGCCCATGAGAAAAAGTCAACTGTATCACCTAAAGAGGCTTTCCTGGGTCCTCTGGCATCATAAATGGACCATTAGAAATGCCTCTTACACAAAGCACTTAGTGAGACATTCCTTGCTCCTCCCCCAGCCCAGAGTGAGGAAGTCTAACTGCTGTGCCTCTGAATTATAAATGCCGTATCAGCTTACATGCCCATCTCCAGAGACCGTCCTAATACAAGCATCATCATTCCTTGCTTTCCCTATAGTGACAGTTGCTCCTCATGTCTCTACATGGCAACTTCATCTCACCATAGCAGCCAATGCAACCTTTTTCCCCCCCTTAAATCTAACTTCATTGAGCTGAAATATGCATACATAAAAGCATTTTAAGAGTTTAGTGATAAATCTTGACAAATGTATAGGCCCATGTAATGGCTACCACAGTCAAGATACAGCATTTTAATCACTCTAAAAAATTGCTCTGTGCCTCTTCACAGCCAGTACCCACACCCTTGGCCCTAGACAACCTCTGATTTGCTTTCTTTCATGAGGGATTAGACTGTTCTTTCCTAAAATTTTACATAAAGGTGTCAACTTGAATTTTAAAAATTCAGACCATGTCCTTCCTTTACTTAACCTTCTAATGACTTTCTAATTCAGATGGAATCAAATTCAGATACTTGACTGTTGCCTGAAAGATTCTGCATGTTCTGGCCCTTGTCCATTTCTCCTGCCTGGTCTCTGGACTCTCTCTTTCCTTACACACTGGCCATGGTGAGGGAGGAGATCACTCCTTTCCATTCCATTAGCTCACCATACCCTTTTATGTTTTAGGCTCTATATCTGCCATTATATTATCTCTCTTAAAATGCCCTTCTTCCAGTATGACTTTTTCTTGTCATTCAGATCCTTGTTTGCAAACCTTCATCTCAGGGGCTTCCTTGGGCATCCTTTGAAACTGCACTTGGTCCAGTGTTTTTTTATTCAGGATCTTTCTTACTCTGAAATCAGCACATGCATCTGTTAACTTGCTAGTATATCTCGTCCCACTCACTGTGAGCTCCACAAGCATAGGAACCATGGTGCTCTTTTTGGTCACTCCAAAGAGTTAGCTCAAGAGCCATACTTGACACATGGTGGGTGCTTAACACTTATGTTGTGGAGGGTGTTGTCTTTGTTTCAGGCAGACATGCCATGGACAGATGTTTGGGTTTCATATTTGGACTTTAGTGGAAGCCTTTCTTGCCATTGATAGTCACACTGAAAAAATTGTTATAATAGCCACCTTCTGAAGTTCATGTGCATCAGTTGATCCCACAGCTAACAGAATCACTAGGTTCACTGAGACTGAGGAAAAATCAATGAAGGAGATATAGATATATGGTACTCAAGAGTCTTTTGGCCTTCTTCCCTCTTTAATCCTATTATTTAATGTAGTTTAAATCTGAGCTTTAGGAAACAGGCAGTCTAATGAGGAGAAGAAAATGAAAAAAGGAAGAAGAAACAAACAAACAAAATTATACAGCTCTGCCAAGGCACAGAGTAAGAAAGATCTTTGAGCTTCAGGAGACCCAGACTGTTAAAACCTTCCTTAGGTTTGGGAGCTGGTAGCAGAGAGGAGATAAAAAGAGATTTTAGATTGTGAATACTTGGAAAGTGACAGTGTCACTGGAAACACAGCCTAGTGATTAGAGTAGAGATTTTTTTTTTTTCCCAGCAGGGTTGTTGCAAATGTGGAACAAGTTCAGAATTACAGCCCCAAATGGAATGTTCCTGGTAAAATATATTATATAGAAATAAGACACCCAGGGTAATCTGGGCTGTATTTTTAGGACTTTTAGACTGATTGCCTGGAGGGCTCAGCTGGGATTTCTTTCCCCTGAAGACCACATTGTACATTTACATGGGGTATTATAGGTCATGGTCCATCTGACTGCAGAACCTCAGGATTGGGCTCCCTTGAGGCAAAATGCGAGCTGAGCCTGTGACAAATCCTTGGGCCCCGAGGGACAGCCTAGCGTTTCATGGAGAGAAACCGTGCCTTCTCGATGGGTTCAGTTGGCAGCTTCCTACTGGAGCTAAGCTGCAACTGCCCCAGGAGACTCGACCCTGCTTCCTGCTCCTCCGCACTGGCGGCCACTTCCCATATTCTGCTGAATCTAAGCAGTGCTGAATGCCCTACACCCAGCCAGCTGGCTGGGGGCCACCCTCCTCTTTGTCCCCGACTCCTTACAAAAGCTTCAATGGATCCCACGCTGCAACTCAGGATCAGAAACTGTACAAGTGTGTGTGTAGGACGTCTTGTGTGTGTAGGATGTCTTGTGTGTGTAGGGTGTCTTGTGTGTGTAGGATGTCTTGTGTGTGTAGGATGTCTTGGGTCATTTAACCCTTCTCTGCTGGTCACCCACAGTGCCAGGAAGACAGCAGTTCATTCGTAGATCAATTGACTTCAACAGGCATTCACTGAACACTTGCAGTGGCCAAAGGATTTTATTGGTTAAAATAAGAAATACAAGAATAAGGCCAAAAGAAGGTAATTGGGGTCTAGAGGTCTGCAGTATACTTCAAGCTCGGGGCTGGTGCACTAGGAAGACCCAGAGGGATCGGGTGGAGAGGGAGGTGGGAGGGGGGATCGGGATGGGGAATACATGTAAATCCATGGCTAATTCATTTCANCACCAGGCTCCTCCGTCCATGGGATTTCCCAGGCAAGAGTACTGGAGTGGCGTGCCATTGCCTTCTCCATGCTGCAGTCCATGGGGTCACAAATTGTTGGACATGACTGAGCCACGGAACTGAACTGGAAAGATACTCAGTATATGTTCCCTAATGGGAGAAAAGAAGGCAGGAAGGCAGAAATGGACAGTGTCTCCTGCCTGGGCAAAATATGCCTAAGAACTGGAATGCCTTGTCTCATGTTTTCCAGGAGCTTGCAGTGGTTTGAGAGACATTATAACAAGCTCTCTATCAATCTTTGGTGACCCCACTTTAATAAATATCCCAAACTGTTCAAGTGTAAACATTCAAGTTTAAAAAGTGAAGACGAATCACTTAACATCATTTTTCTGCAATGTTTCTAACTTTCTTGAAAAAAAATGGAAGAAAGAGAAAAAAAAAAAACAACATAGAATATTTCCCTTGTACCAGTTGGGGGCAATCCAGTACTACAAATGTGCAAGTGAGAGAAAAAAAAGTACAGGCAAAAGATCGTTTGTAATGTTGCTGCTACTGCATGAACTGGTGTCCTTTCTTCCCAAATTAATTTTTCTCAGGCCTCCGAAAGCCATAGCAACAGAGCAGTGCTGAAATGCCCAATTGAAAATGCTTTCTTTCTTACATAATGGCAAGTGCCCTCTAATAAATAATCCCTGGGTCAGGTGGCAACTTAGCTTCACAGTCTTCCAGACTGCAGGGTGATGAAGCGTGTGACCGGTGGCTGACTTAAGATTGCCACCTGGGTGCTCTCTTGGCCAGGTTTGTCCTGCTCTGTTGGTACAAAAGGCCATCCACTCAGCCCCTGTGTCTAAGTATAGTAGTAATCCCTTCTTTGAATGCCATGGAGATTCTCACATTACTCTGGTAATGTGGTTTATAACAATACCTAAGCCCATGTACTTCTGGCATTGTTCTGGGTAGAACAGTAAAGCAAGGTCTTTCATGCCCTAACTTGAAAGTGTTGCGATATTTCAAGTGTGTATTGATTGTCTTTTTTAGGTTCTATGTGAGGTTTTGTAGAAGATGTAAAGTAGTGCTTGATGTTTTCTCTTTATTTGTCGAGTGTGTCTCTTAGGGCGATAAAACTCTGCATACTCGATGACGTGATCCAGGATTGTGCGTGGTAAAATTAGCTGTGGTAAACCAGAGAAAGCAAGATCTGATAGGTTGCAGTTGTCGGGAACATTTTCCTGGACACATGGTTTGACACCTCTGGTTATCCTGTCTCAGCATCTGCCTGAGTGTTGGTCAGCACTTCCCTAGGGCCTTTGTAGTATGCAGTACCCTTGCTAATCTTCCTCTTGGACAAAAGGCAGCCAAGTTTTGGGGTCTGACTCTATCTTCTTATAGGAGTGGACTTCTTTACCCTTATGGAACGTTGCAGAGTAAGAATTCCATTTTTGAAAGTTGTACATGAAATTTTCATGCAAAGCCAACCATTTATTGTGGTCATCATTCCTTGCGAGTTTACTCCGTGTTGGCAGTGATGGAGAGACCCGATCATGATCCACTGTGTCATTTCACCAGTGCTTTGGCTGCTTTTATTTCTGAGTTTCATTTTTAGCTTGCCATTTGCTCTATCCCATCTAAATGCAATCACTGCATCTCTGTCGCTCTCCGAATATCTGCTGGCTGAGACTTACAGAGCAGAATGAAAGTAATAACAGAGGTACATTGGTGATTTCAAAAACTCAAGTCGATAAGATTAGAAAATAATCTTCCTGAGAGATGAAAAGCGACGTGGGTTCAGTCACAAACTTGTCGTTGATGATTCAGTACAAGAACGATTTTAAATGAAATTTGTGTGAGATTTATTATCCTGTGTTTTGTTTTTTTTTTTTAAACTGTTGATGTCTTCATCTGAAAACTTGATCGACTTTTGTATGCACAAACAAGTCTCTTAAATTTTCGTTTAAATTGTCACTTGTGTGTCTCATCTACAAGAACTTTTATGTTGAATTACACTGGATCTGATAATACCCTTACACAGACACTATGTCAGTTGTCTGGTGGATGTACGGACAGTTCCACATGTCATACAGCTTCTTCTACAGAACTGAGACCAAGGCTTCATATGACTAAGAGATGACGAGTGGCTTCTTCAGAGCCCCCCTAGCCTGGCTGCGCTTTCTGTCCAATCTCAAACCCCATTTCTCCTCATTGATCTTACCCAACTACCTGTTGTATTACAGCTCCACTCTGCTGCTGCTTTTCTTTGTTACTGATATTACTCAGACCTGAAATGTCCTTTATCCCTCTGAGCATCTCATCTGCAATTCAAATCCTACCCACCTTTGCCTCAGACTCTTTTCCCCTTGAAATTTCCCCTCAACTGAAGTTAAACATAGGCTCCTATCTCCTAGAATTTCATATTTTGTCTGTACTTATCTCATGGCTGTTAAAATATAGTCTCTTTATGGTAATCAATAGAAGGATCTTAAATTGTACACTCCTTAGTGGCAGAGACCAAACTCTATAGTCAGTGTTAAGCCTTTCATAAAACTACACCATGTGCTTTACAGATAAAGTAATAAAATGTTTGTCGAATGTCCAAATGGAAGTTATATCAGTAGACTAGACTTGAAGTGAAAGTGCTCTCTCCTTCAACAGTTTGGCAGCTGTCTTATACTTAGTGGGTACCAGATATCTGTGGAATGAAATGCGGAGGGATGGATGGGTTCATGGATGGGTGACGGATGTGTGGGATGGTTGAATGAATGGATAGGAGCTTTGAATCTGAGCTTTAAACAACCATCTAGATGGTGTGCTTTCATGATCCTATTTCTCCTCTTCTCAGCCCTATTGCTCCCTACACCTTCACCTTAAGGTCTCTGAGAATCCCTACACATCAGGGATCATCGCCAGCCGAGACACAGCCCCCAGCATCATAGTGGCTTCAGGTAAGCAGCTTGCCTGGTCTGCTCACTGCTGTAAATTGTATTTATTTTAAGAAGCCAGGTAGCTGTGCTTGGAACTTAATGAGCAAGCTAAAAATATTTTTGAAAGGCACCTAAGCCACTGACCCTGAAGCAAGTATGCTGAAAAACCCTGCTCAGATAGAGTGTTTGCAGTCTAAATCCACCTCAGGCAGTGCCCACTGCCAGCACAGCCCGTCGTTAGCTTTTGCAGAAACTTCTCTTCACTAATGGTGATGTGCTCTCTCCAGGTAATATAGGTTCTGAGTTGTCAGACAGTGACATCAGCATGTTTGTCTCTTCAGATGCGGGAAACACTTGGAGGCAGGTAAGAAAGTATCCTGGTTAAGTTACTGGCGTTTAAATGTATTAAAAATTATCCAGCTTGTTTCAGTTCTGGGAATTTATTCAGTCACACATAAATCCTAAAGCTTCTCTATGTGTTTATTCCCTTTTTTGTTTTATGCATGGCTTACAAAAGTTCTGAGTTCAGCAAATATTCATGAAATTTTATTTATTTGCTTGATAAATGAGCCTTTGCATGCATGCTCAGTTACTTTCATCATGTCCAACTCTGTGCAACTCTATAGACTGTAGTCCGCCAGGCTCCTCTGTCCATGGGATGCTCTAGGCAAGAATACTAGAGTGGGTTGCCATACCTTTCTCCAGGGGATCTTCCTGATCCAGGGATCGAACCTGGGTCTCCTGCATTGTAGGAGGATTCTTTACCATCTGAGCCACAAGGAAAGTCCTAAAAAAAATGACACTTTATCACAGCCTATATGTAAGAAAGTTTATAAGTAACAATGAAACCAAATTAGATATGACTCCATTTTCCCCTTAAAAGAAAGCTGGAATTCTAGAGAGTTTATTATGTAGGGAACATGAAGCCTGGACGGGAGATTATCTATCTAATGCCGGGTTGCCTCTGTAAATTTCTCTTGCCTTGAAGTCAGAATAGAGGAGAATGCAGTGATACAGAGAAAACAATTACCCAGGTGGTGCTCTGAGATGTTTAAAGCTCATGTGCAGAAGACAGAGTAATAACCATCAGGGTGCATATGTTAGGGAAAGTAGAAATGGAATCACTTTCAACCAGTGTGTTTAGCTTAAATGCTTCCTCTTTCTTCTGAATGAAAATGAGATACTCCTAGCTTATAAAACAGGCGCTTAATGAGGTTTAACAGTCCTAACAAAATAGGCGCCTAATGCATGGTTGTTACACTTCAATAAATATGTTTTAATAAGCCACTGACATTTAATTATCATACAATAACTAGCACCATAAATTGAAATCTAATGCACAGGTAATCACACAGCAGTGAGAACACTGCACTTTAAATTTTAGACAGAGATGTCCATGTTACAGTCTAGTTACCATCTCCTAGCTTCATAGATCTGCACTTTGATTCACATGTTTTGAGAAGAGTGGGTCAGGAAAGAAACTTGCTTAAGAAATTCCAGGGGTTTTGATCTTGGAGATATACGTGCTCAGTCACTCAGTCGTGGCCAACTCTTTGCAATCCCATGGACTGTAGCCTTCCAGGCTCCTCTGTCCATGGAATTTGCCAGACAAGAATGCTCAAGTGGGTTGCCATTTCCTTCTCCATGGATATATATAGGAACATGCATTGTTAAACTTCCTATGGACAATAGTTAGAAAGCCAGGGTCACATTTTTTTCCTTCTAACATCCCAAACAAAGCAAATAAGTCTCTCCTATAGTCCTGGGGTACATCTTGACTGTAAGAAGTAAAAGGACACTGTCATTCACCCCATCCTGGCATCGTCCATTATCGTCTACCTGGTCCTAGGCAAGTTACCACTTCTTTCTAAACCTTAGCTTTCTCATCTGTGAAAATGAGAGCCTTGGAATAGAGTGTCTTCATGGTTTCTCTGATCTAAAGGTGTGACCCGATGTGACTGTTGCCCATATGTCAACATAATCATAAATGGAACCCAACAGAGCTCACCACAAAATGACAGGAATAGAGATATGAATACATAAATCTTAGGTATTATTTAAACTTCTCTTGTGGAGCACCTAAAATCATTTTATGGAATTCCAGTGGTACATGTCAGACACCTGAGGAAGCATTGGTCATAACTGTGTCTCCCCACAGATTTGGGGGGACCCAGTTCTATCATGGAGAGATTATTTTTCCTCAAATGAAGACTAATTCTCTGAACCCTGGGTGTGGGGGGGCGGCTGTGTATGTGCTTTTCCTCTTCCAGATATTTGAAGAAGAGCACAGTGTTTTGTATCTGGATCAAGGTGGAGTCCTGGTCGCTATGAAGCACACATCACTCCCAATTCGACATCTCTGGTAAAGACACCTGTTGCCCCTCAATCCTGTACCGAGGACTGGTTCCACGCAGCTGAGACCAGGCTAAGCCGGGCCGACAGACTATAACTGTGCTTGTAGTGAATTGTCATGGTCTGCTGGACTATAACTTACACCTTTGCTTTTTTACAAGAAGGGGGGCAGAGAAAGAGAAAGGGAGCATGCTTCTGCCCTTTAGAAAGGAATTATACATGGTTTTGGAATGTGAGAGCGCCCCTCTCTCCCATCAGTACCTCCAGCACCTCACTCTTTCAGTACAGTCATGGGTAGAATGGTTGTCAAGGATAATCTCTGAATAGCTTAATTTCCCACAGCCACCTATCCCAAATATTGTCTCCTCAAGTTTAATATTTGCATTCACTCTGTTCATTCTGCACAGAGATCAGCAGTGCATGTCACTTCTGCTCTGATCTCATTTGGCCTCATTTTTGCAGGCGGGAGAGGGTGGTTTTCTGAAACTCTCCCTGTAGGTCTTCTACAGATGAACATGCAAGGCCTAACTTCCAGAGGGGTTTTTCAATAGACTCCTTTATCTGTGTTTTTGAAAATGGCTCTCTCCACAGGCGAGCTCGTTCAAAGTCAAAGGCTTGATTTTCCCTCCACTGTTCCCTTTGGTGGACCAAAGGGAAAGCTGCAGAAATAAGAGAACCAGAGGCTTAGCCTGAGGGAAGGCATCCCAGAGAAAGGCAGAGGAAAGGAAACGTCCTGTATGACCATCAGAGTTGCATAGTCCTCTCTTACTTTCAAGAGCCTGTCCTTCTGCACCCGTTCACTCAGAGGGTCAACCAGGATGCGTAACAATGTGCGAAGGATACCACTAAGGGTTTGATCCCGTGGAGGTGGCTGATTCAAGTCCATCGCAGTGCTCTCAGAAGGTGACTGTTCTCAGAATCAAGGCTTGCTGCTAGATGACAGCAAGGTTTTAGAGAGGATCACATTGAGATCTAAGACCTAATAAGATACCCAAATTTAAAAAATTCTATCAGTGACTTACCATTCCCGTTTCATACAGCTCTCCACTGATTGATGTTATAATACATCTGGGCCCCAAATCACTTGGCTAGCTGTATATCCACCTTCTGATGTAATTAAGAACACTTATTCATATCAAAGGCTCACTTTGACAATGCCCCAGGTACTTCTAAAATATATTCTGTCCTAGTTGGTAGTATCTTTTCTTTGAAAGGATTTTCTTTTGAGGTCCAATGACTTATTTTTTTCTGTCATCAGGTTGAGTTTTGATGAAGGGAGGTCTTGGAGCAAATACAGTTTCACATCTATTCCCCTTTTTGTGGATGGGGTTCTAGGTGAACCTGGGGAAGAGACTCTCATCATGACGTAAGTGGAAAACCATGTTGTCTTCTAGTCTTAATAGAAATCCAGAAATGTGTGGTTTTTAGCTGAGCCTGTTCGCCTTGCTGCTGTCAGTTTTAAAGTTGCTAGCAAAGGCAGTGCATCTGATTTCATGATTCCCTAGCAAAGAAGAAAAGAGCAATGCAGGCATCCATTTTCTCTTGGCTCTTTGCTAGCTATTAGGAGACCTATACTGTGGGCTGGCAGCAAAGTGGTACAGCCTATTTCTTCCTATACTGAATGAGCTTAGGGAAATTAGACGTGATTTTTTTTTCAATAGAAGATAAAGCTATCAATTTAAAACTTTAATAATAAACACGCTGATATACAGAAAATCACAGGCATATAAGAATGATTTCACTTTAAGACAGAACACAGAGCTTGATCACAAAGGATGTTATTTTTCCCTGGCTTTTTACCTAACCCAATTGTGAGGCATATTAGGGGAACCACGAGAACAGTCTGTTCTTTTGAAATTACATTTGCGCTCATTCTTGTCTGGAAAGTGATGATCATTAATTTATGAAAGACTTGATTAATGGCTTGCCTGCCTGTGGGTTTCAAAACATGAGCTTTGAATTTGAAATATGAAACTCTGATTTTTCCTTCTCCTGGAAAATCAGAAGTGGAAAACAGAGAGGAAAGATTTTAAAGCAGTTGATCCTGTCGACAGTGAACATTTTTAAATCAAAGTGAATAGTTGGTACATTTTCTGATTTTTTTTCTCCTTCTTTTTTTTAACAATAGAAAAGAGCAACAAAAATTAATATGCCTAACAGTTATACTTTTGCCCAGTGGGTTAGCAATTTATTCTATAATTTGTCTTTATTCAGTTTTTATATTTACAAAACACAGATGGAAAAAGCTGATTGTAAAGGCTGCCTTGGAGCTTTTATTCACATTGACAATAGGTAATTCAAACACTTCATTAGGTAGCTGAGCTTCTTTGAGTCAGGAAGGTAGAATGAACAGGGTAGGACGTAGTTATAACTCTTCAGCCTTGTTGCCTACTTCTCCTTGTGACTGGTGGGAAGATAAAATAGCACAGAAACCACAGGAACCAGGAAAATTAGCAAGAGAACCTGGAAGTATAATCTTGGACTGCATGGAAGGCAGGATTTGTGATTGTTTTCTCATTTTTATTTTTTCTTTCTGGCCAACAGTTCTTGTTTACAGTATATAGCAGCAGGCTTTTCGTCTAACACCCCTGGGTTCTAACTCTACCAGTTCTTGGTGATTTGTCTTTGGTTTTAGCATGTGAAAACTTTTTGAGCCTCAGGTTACCCACAGATAAAGTGGAGTCAATTCATAGCAACCCTCCTCAGAAATGTGTTTTGGGGATCAAATAATACGACCGATATAAGATGCTTAGCATTGTGCTAACCTCATAGTAAATTTCAGCAAACGCTAACTGTGGTTGTAACTGTCAGCATTGCTGTTATTGTGAGTATTCGTATCATCTGCAGAGTGTTTGGACACTTCAGTCACCGCTCCGAATGGCAGCTGGTCAAAGTGGACTACAAGTCCATTTTCGATAGACGCTGTGCCGAGGAGGACTACAGACCCTGGCAGCTACACAGCCAGGTAGGGGGGCGAGTGTCCTGGGTGGGAGGCCTGGAGAGACCTGGGGGAAAGCCAGTCATTCAAGGCAGGAATCAGGGTTCTCTGGGCAGAAACGTCCATCTGGTGGTTTCTCACGTGTTCTGGGTGCCATGGCAGTGAACAAGCTCAACACTTATAGCTGTTGTGAAGTAATTCATGTTTTTATTGTACTAGGATATAATGAGATAAAATTCAGATGTGCTTGGCTTAGACTTTCAACTCAAAACAAAACACCAACTCAGCACAGAGAGCTGAACATAATTTATCTGAGCATGTCATCTGGTTGCAGGGTGTGAGGTCAGGGGTGAGGAGAGGCTCTTCAGTTTTATCTAGCAATGCAAACAGAGACATAAAATAGCAAAATTAGGCTGGGTGAGGAGTGCCAGTAAAATTCTTCTTCCCCGCCACTCACCGCTGCGATTCCCTGGGACTAGGTAGTGCTTTCTGCCTCCTTCCAAGGTTCTTGTGTTATAAGGATGTGGAATTAGTAGGAAAATTTCCTTCATCCTGGTCTCTCTGCTATTCCGTTCATATTATTGATAGAATGCTGGATAAAAGCATCTCTCTTTTGATTTCCCAAGGCAGAACTCATTCTGGCAGCCTCTCAAAGGACATAGCTGGGGCCCTTGCTTACAAAGCCATCACTATATTGAGAGAGTGACACAGCATATACTCCAAACCTAGACTAAGTTGTATATTTATGTGCGATGTGTAGTGCAGCTGGTTAAAGTGAGCTTGCTCAAGAAAGACAGTGTAGAGTAGCTTAGACAAAAGTCTGTCTGGTCCTTTGGACACACACACAGAGCTGGGTTTGCCAATGGGAGCTACATCAGCCAGAATCACCCACTTTTCTTGGAGGCTCAATAATGAAAGGATTGCTCATTCACATAGCTGATATTTTCCCCTTTGGAGTGCACGGACATTGTAATATTCAAAGCGTTTATTTACTTTGTGGAGAAACACTGAATTTAGTGCTACTGCTTACCTTGTAGAGGGATGTAAAATCAGTGCAGTAAAGTTGTGTGGGCAGAGGCATAACAAACCAAGGCAAAATGGACCTTTATGTTTCTTAGAAATATTCTTCTTTCATATGCACATAAATGATCATGTGCCAATCTTTTATTACAGAAAAAGTCAACTTAATTACCATAGATTTGTTGGTAATACACTGTTACAGACTGAGTCTTAGTTACCTGTGTGTCCCTCATAGCCTTCTACCCAACACTTTGCCAAGTAAGAATTTGATGAAAACAGAATTCAGGACATTTTGACACTCTCTTGGTGCATCTTGGGATTAACTTTGCCATCATGTTCTGTAATAGGACTCTAGATATTGAAAAGAAAATGCTGTTAGCACAAAGCAGACTGCCCACGTCCAGATTACCCTAAGATTTAAGACCATCTCCCTGGACTGTCCTAGTGTGGGGTAGGGAAGGTCATGCCTATGGGCCAACAGTGTGAGATTCTTGTCTCCTTACAGGGGGAAGCATGCATCATGGGAGCGAAGAGGATATATAAGAAGAGAAAATCCGAGCGGAAATGCATGCAGGGAAAATATGCAGGAGCCATGGAGTCTGAGCCCTGTGTCTGCACAGAGGCTGATTTTGACTGGTGAGCTTGTGCTGTTAGCCCATGTAGTCATTGCATATTTCAAAACCACATGGGCCTTAATGAAAGTTTAGATTTGAATAGTGACATACATAGAATCAAGTGACAAGCCTCATGTTTGTTGAATTACCATGTGGGGACATCATGGCTTACAGGTTATGTGTGTGTGTGTATACAGAAAAAAACAGGGATTTCTTTAGGCTTAAGGAGGACTCAGGAGATAGCTGGTAATTATCTTCACATATTTGACAGGTCTCAGGACAAAAAGAGAGGCCAGATCCACCCTTAGTCCACTTAAATAATAAGTGGACGTTTCAGGGAGCAAATATATGTGTGCTCAAGATAAAAATCTTTCTAGATTCTAGGATTCCTGGTAGTGAAATTATGGTTATTTAGGGCAGTGCATTTGCTATACCTGGAGGTTTTCAGTTAGTGGCTAGCTTATGAAAGCCATGGAATATTTTTTCTGAATTCAGTGCAAGGATGGAGTCACTGGCATTGCTATCTGTGGCTTTATGAACCTAGAAGTAGGAGAGCCTTCTCCTTTTACCAGTATTAAGCTAGTTTAAACTGGAAGAGGAATGCAACATTTAGACATTAAATATTCTCAGAGTGCCACAACATGCTTTTTGGAGCTTTAGTTAAGCAGAAAACTAGCTTGTGGGGCCAATGATATCCTTGCTTTGTTCTAGTTTTGACTGTCAGATGAGGCTGAAAGATGATTGAAGATGAATAGGTGGTAACCAACCCTCTTGATCATGTCCATCCCATTTTCAGTCTCTTTTTTATCTTCCTCCTTTTTAAAATGTATTTATATGTTTTTGGTTTAGAGAAAGCAATTGCTGAATGTGTATGTCAGTGTTGAATGATTGAACTTAACCAGCGTAAGAAACAAAGACATTTACTTAAAAGTATTAGCTGGGTAGCAATCATCAATCACATGTCTGATCATCAGAATATCAGTGATTGGGCTGAGATACTGTGTACATGCATGTAACATTACTTAGAAAAAGGAAGCATCTCTCATGGTAGATCTCTAGGACCATTATCTGAATAAATAGTACTGGCCAGTCCTGGCACATTGGCTGCCAGTACTCAGACCTATGACCCAAGGCCATTCCTGTCTTGTTGGTAGAGAAGGCAAGCCAAGAGGCAGTTCTATTTCTCTCTGTGCTCAGCTGGAGGCAGACAGAGCTTCAGTTACACTGGGACTCACAGGGAATTCTGCAGGGGCCTCCCCAGCCCTGACTTTCCTTTTAGTCAGCACAACACTTACAATGACAGAAATATTTCCTCTCTGTCCTACCTTCAGGATTGACATCCTGAACTACATTCACAGGGAGAACTTGCATGGAATGCTCGTCATTCATTACATGCCTCTTTCTGAAACCTGGCTGCTTCTCCTTTATTCACTCTATTCAAGGAGGATCCATATGGGGAGTTAACTTTCTATCTTATAGCTTTGACTTTGGCCTTCCCAAACAGTGATTTTTTGGCAAAGGTGGTTGTCCCTGACTGTTTTCTCTCAGTTTGGCTCTCCCCCCAGACATCCCTCTGCCAAATGGCCTTGCCTGTTATTTGCAATTTCCTGAAATGAACCCAGGACGTCCTGTAGGCAGAGTCCCGGAAGTCCTTCTACCCATGCTGTGTTGCATCAGAATCAAACCCAGCTGGTATGGGCAGAATTCTGAGAACCGACTGCCTGGTGACAGGCCCCTGAGCAAGCCTAGTTCTTCTTTCGCAGCCTGTGTGTGCCAGCATCTCACCTCCATCACACAGATGAGCCAGTTCATACCTGTGCTTGCCATCGCTGCCTGCGATTTGTCTGCATGAGGAGGTACAGTGTGTTGCCATTCTCTGCGCCCAACTTCATCTTTCAGAAGCCAAGAAAGCCTTGGCTTTCACAAGCCTCGACTCAGAGGCTCCTGGACGCAAGAATGCAAGGAGGCTGAGAGAAAACTGTTTTCAAACTAGAGAAAATTTAAAGCAATTGGTAGCATTAACTGAATACGACCAAGTTTTCCTTTGGGGGGAATGCTTGCAACACTCCCGAAGTACATTGCTTTTCCTGCTGTGCCTTTGAAGCAGATGGCTTGGTCACAGAGAGACCTGGCTCAGCTCTCCTTGGTAGATCCAGATGTCTTGGAAGAGCACCCCAAAGACAACACATTTTAATGAGGATTATGCCATGTGTGGATGCCTTAGGTTCTTCAATGCAGTTGACACAGAGGACTGGGCTTCCACTATTATAGCTTTCTCTGGGCCCAACCACAGTCACTATTGTGTCTCCCCCTGATGAGAACAACATCTGTGCTCCTGGCTGAAAGGTGTTTAATGGGAATCACTGGGCACTGAGCTTTCATCTCTATATATGCGTCCCTGTCACCTCCAAGTTAGCCATTCCTCAAAATGGATTCTGTAGAATGTTTTCTTGGGTAATTGATAGATATTCCGTGGAAAGAAAGATTGCATTTTTGGGAAGGCATTGATTTAGTGAATGCCTGTTTTTTTTTGACTAATTGACCAGGGTAGAAGTTGGCTGTGGACTGACTTAAACTGTTCTCAGTAACACTGCCACCTACTGAAAGGTTTCTCGCATTTTTTCCCCCAACAGTGACTATGGTTATGAACGACACAGCAACGGTCAGTGCCTGCCGGCCTTTTGGTTCAATCCATCCTCTCTGTCGAAGGACTGCAGCTTGGGGCAGAGTTACCTCAATAGTACTGGGTGAGTGCCTGAAGCATTGGCGTGAGGAGGTCATCTGCTGCTGCTTTTCTGCATGCAATAAACATAGAATCACTTCTGACCAAAGACGAGGTCTGTTTCATTATAGCACCAGTTTATTCACTTTCATTCATTTTAATCAGCACAAATTTGCATTAATAGTGCAAATTCCATCTGAGAATAAGATTCCAGTTGCAAATAAGCAAAACAGGTTACTGGGATGAAGATAGCAATGATGATAATATACAGATTGCTTCCTTTTTTGATCCCTTATTTCACAACTATTTGATCACATGAGGCTACCTTTTACCTTGCAGCATCCCTGTGTGGAAGGTCAAACAAGTATTTCCCATGTGCATTTCCTGCTTTATAGATGTGGAAACTAGAGGCAGAAAAGAAGCTCATTGACCTTTCAAGAGTGTGCTGGTGTTAGCAGGAATGTATTCCATTTTCTCTCTATCCAGTTTTGACGCATTGAAGATATGTATTCTGATCTTTGTAAATCTGGAATCAGATTTGAAAATTTTGTGTTGAATGATTTGTGCTGTGGGGTTTATCCAATATTATTTAAGAATTACCATAAAAAGGAAAACCATGTGGTGACTTTCCCAAAATTGTAACTGATATTTATAGACTTAGGAAACTACTGTGTGGAACTTATTTGGAATCTAATTCAAGCAATCTATCAAAAGACATTTTTGAGCCATTTGGGAAACTAAATATGTTCTGGTGACTAGTGTTGTATTCATCAGGATTTTCCAAAGATATGCTTTTCAGTCTCCAACTGGAGATATATATGTGTATATGAAGAGATTTGTTAAAAGCACTGGCAGCACCCAGCTATGGAGGTGGGCAAGTTCAAATCCTGATATCCGTAGCAGGGGTTGGCAAGCTGGAGACCCAGGAGATTAGATGGTTTGTTTCTAGGCACAGTCTGAGCACTGATGGTGAACCAGGGAAGCTCATAGTATAGTTCCTGTCTGAAGACCAGCAAAGTCAAAACTGATGTTTCCATCTAAGTGTGAAGGCAAGAAGGAAGTCATTGTTCAGTTTGAAGGCAGTCAGGCAAGACAAATTTTTTTCTTATTTAGAAGAGAGTTAGCATTTCTAGGCCTTCAACTATTTTAATGAGGCCCACCCACATAAGAGAGGACAATCTGCTTTACTCAATTTACTGATTTAAATATTAATCTAATTAAAAAACACCCTCAGAGAAGCATCGGAATAAGGTTTGACAAAATACCTGGCCACTCTGAAGCCCATACAAGTTGACACATAGAATTGACCATCACAGGTAATATTAGGTTGTGTCTAAATCCAAATTTTATATTATAATGTGCTAAGTCACTTCAGTGATATCCGACACTTTGTAACCCTATGTACTGTAGCCCGCCAGGCTTCTCTGTCCATGGGATTCTCTAGGCGAGAATACTGGAGTTGGTCACCATGCCCTCCTCCTGGAGATCTTCCTGACCCAAGGATCAATCCTGCATCTCTTAGGTCTCCTGCATTGGCAGGCAGGTTCTTTACCACTAATGGCACCTGGGAAGTCCCATTTATATTGTATTAACTAAATGTATTATACATTTATGTATGATAATGATATTTTGGTTAGGTCAAAAAAAGAAAAGTATCTTTTAGAGATACTTAATGTGTGACATTTGTTTTAAAATGTTAGAAGAGGGATGTGTGCTATGCTTAGTCACTCAGTCATGTCCAAATCTTTGCAACCCCAGGGACTGTAGCCCAGCAGGCTCCTCTGTCCATGGGAATTCTCCAGGCAAGAATATTGAGTGGGTTGCCATGCCCTCCTCCAAGGAATCTTTCTAACCCAGGGATCAAACCCAGGTTTCCCGCCTTGCAGGCACATTCTTTATCATCTGAACCACCAGGGAAGCCCAAGAATACTGGAGTGGGTAGCCTATTCCTTCTCCTTCCTTCTCCAGAACTTCCCGACACAGGAATTGAACCAGGATCTCCTGCATTGCAGGCGGATTCTTTACCAACTGAGCTACCAGGGAAGCCTAGAAAAGGAATACATATTAATAAATTTTGAAGGTAACTTAATGAAAGTGTGGCTATTTATTATACTGTTTTCTCTCATTTGTGCATATTTGAGAATTCTGATATTAAAAAGTTAAAGAGAGAGGGAGGGAGGAAGGAAGAGTAAAAAGGGGGAGAGGGGAAGGGCTTGAAGGAGAGGGGAGAGAGGGAGGGGAAGCAGGCACTCACCAGTAGGCTAGCATCGCTTGACAGCTGCCCTTCTCATTGCTCATGAGAGCTGCCATCCAGAGGAAAGGACATTCATGTTCTTGTTTATGTACTTTTGCATTTGAAATGTTTACTTTTTTTAATTTAAAAAAATCACCAAAATAATATATACTACTCTCAGAATAGTATATACTACTCAGTGGATATTACCTGAGAGCATCTCACCCTAAGGGATTTTTGTTGAGTTATCACTTCTGCTGGTTCCATTCCATTCAAACTTTTTTTCAGAAGGAGAGAAAAAAAAAACATAGACATGCACATCAAATGTTCTTATCTATGATTGAATAAATAAATAAACTATGATTTATTTGCACTGTAACACAAAATTTGAGAAAAATGCAAGTAACATTTTTACAGCAAAGGGCCAGTGAGGTCTTGAGCATCTAGTACTATGTGAAAAATTGAAAAAGGCTGCTGGAATCACTCAACTTAATGGTGAAGAAATGCCAGAAAAAGTTGTATCACTTGCATGTACAGACATGTTTAGACATTGTAAAGAGCACTGGGAACCTCTGAAGCTGTTTTCAGAATTGATTTTTTTTTTTTTTTCCACTGAGTTAGTCAAGGGAGTTATGCTGTTCTCTCTTTGGTATTAATAACAGGAGGCTGAAGTACAGAGGGGTCTAAATTTTAACAAATGCTACCGAAACCACTGTAATAAGGCAGAAAAAGAAGGTCTATGAACCCTTACTTTTATTTTTTTTTTTTCCACTGAGTTAGTCAAGGGAGTTATGCTGTTCTCTCTTTGGTATTAATAACAGGAGGCTGAAGTACAGAGGGGTCTAAATTTTAGCAAATGCTACCGAAACCACTGTAATAAGGCAGAAAAAGAAGGTCTGTGAACCCTTACTTTTCACTTTATTAAGAATGTATATGTATTTTCATTTTATGATTATATACATGTATCAATATTTACACTCACACTTAGACACTTAGATTTCTTTAGCTACTCCTAAACAGATTTCACCAGTCCTTTGGTGAACTCAGTATGTGAAACCCAAATAAATTCTAACCCATAAAAAATAAAACATCAGAGATGAGTAATTTATTTTCAATTATAAATGGCTCAGCAGTAGGTTTGTTGTTGTTTAGTCGCTCAGTCATATCTGACTCTGTGACCCCATGGACTACCACACACCAGGCTTCCCTGTCCTTCACCGTCTCCTAGAGTTTGCTAAAACTCTTGTCCATTGAGTTGGTGATGCCATCCAACCATCTCATCCTCTGTCATCCCCTTCTCCTCCCACCTTCAATCTTTCCCAGCATCAGGGTCTTTTCCAATGAGTCAGTTCTTTGCATCAGGTGGTCAGAGTATTGGAACTTCAGCTTCAGCATCAGTCCTCCCAATGAATATTCAGGATTGATTTCCTTTAGGATTGACTGATTTGATCTCCTTGTAGTGCAAGAGATTCTCCAAGAGTCTTCTTCAACACCATAGTTCAAAAGCATCAATTCTTCAGTGCTCAGCTCTCTTTATGGTCCAACTCTCACATCCATACATGACTACTTGAAAAATCATAGCTTTGACTCAGCAGTAGGTATCTGGGTATATAAATGGTTGTCAATGCAGTTATGTTTATTAATCACACAATCACAACATTACTTCCTAGTGCTCCCCCTCCACTCTCAGAGGGTTGTTCCTGTCAGTGGCTATTACCTGAGAGCATCTCACCCTAAGGGATTTTTGTCGAGTTATCACATCTGCTGGCTTCATCCATTCCATTGAAACATATTGCAGAAAATCATCAGCATTAGTGAGCGAGTTTGTATAAAGGGGACATATGATAAATACCAGCCATCAGCAAGTAGGATAAATGCCCTGCTCTTGAAAGTAAGGGGCTCACAGGTAGAAGAGTAACCACCCTCATAGCACCCTGTGGCCTAAGGTTGGGAGGAAGGGTATCAATCATAACCTCACAGATTGACATATTGTATATACATTTGTATCAGGAATAGGAAGACCATTAGCTGGGACAGGGTCCTGAAGTCATCCTCAAAGAAGGCACCATACCATCAGATTTCCATTTGCAGGGTCTGTAGCCAAGTCAAGAGTGAGTAAGAGGTAATGTGTAGATGAAATTGAAAAAGAACTTTCTGCCTTTCTTTTTTTTAACTTCACTTTGTATTGGGGTATAACTGATTAACAATGTTGTGATAATTTCAGGTGAACCACAAAAGAACTTAGCCATGTATATATGTGTGTGTGTGTGTGTGTGTGTGTGTATCCAGTCTTCCCCAAACTCCCCTCCCATCCAGGCTGCCACATAGCATTGAGCAGAGTTCCCTGGGGTGCTATATAGTAGGGCCTTGTTGGTTATCCATTTTAAATATAGCAGTATGAACATGTTCATCCCAAATTCCCTAACTATCCCTCTGCCCCCTCCTTCCCCTTCTACACAGCAACCATAAATTCCTTCTCTAAGTCTGTGAGTCTCTCTCTGTTGTGTAATTAATTTCCTTTGTATAATTTCTTTTTAGGTTCCACGTATAAGGGATGTCATATGATATTTCTCCTCCTCTGCTTTACTTCACTAAGTATGAAAATCTCTAGGTCTGTCCATGTTGCTGCAAATCTTCTTGACCGTCTTAATGCCACTCCAGCCCCTGACCTCAGATGTCACCTGGCTATATGTTGATTTGGTGGCATTTCATAAGTACAGATTCAAGAAGGTGGTAGCCACTACAGTGCTGCAGTCAAACATTTAGCTCTTCACTTAGAGATGTTTAATTAC